ATAATATATAAAGAAAGAACGAAGAAAGTTGTAATATCTGGGTAGGGATATAAAAGTTTGTGTGTATATTGAAAATTATTTTTTACAAATATTTTTGAAATCTTCTTAAACTTTAGAAAAAATGTAAAAATATCGTCTCCTCCAAAAAATTTTTGGAAGCTGGCAGGGGTATGTACTATCATATTCAGATGAAATATTTTGCCTTATTTTGCCTTTTTTAGAAAAAAATGTATTTTTCTACTTTAAGTTGAGTGACATTTTTTATAAATTGATGTTTTTATTGTATATAGTATTGAACTGAAAATGTGGGATAAAGAAATAGTTTCATCCGATTTTTCTTAAAATTGATATTTAAGGTTTTAATAGTATAAAAAACATTTCTGCAACATTTTTTGAAAATTGGCCCACACTGTGACATAGCCATACCGTCCGATTTAAGATATTTAATTGATGCTGCTGAATGCAGAAACAAAATATATAAAAATGACAGATTATTACACGCTATTTAATAGAGCAATGGATACATCTGATCCACTTATATCATCTATACGCCTAAACGCCCACTTACAAGAAAGAAAGCGGTTAAACCTGCCATCTGAAGTAATCGAATTGTTAGTTTGTGAACTAAACTATGAATTACGGCCCGCGAATGATACTGGTTGTGATGAAACCACAGATGAAGAATTCGAAAAAGAATATGGCGATGAAGATATAGTTCTGGAAATCGAAATATCTACATATATTCAATAATTAATTAATTTAAAACTTAATAGAGTTCTTTTATTTTCTTTACTTAATAGTATAAAACAACCTTCTTAATCCTGTTTTAAGTCATACTTTTATAAAAAGAGTAAATTTTGAATTATGTTTACCGCATTTTATTTTGTTTTACAACTCATGTTTGTACTAAAACATCACATTTTGTACCCTAACATTTGTATGCCTTTGCATATCTAAAAACCTAATAAATAGTACTATATTGTACCTTATGATTGCAGAAACGCGTTTTAACGGATTTGCAATAAATATTAATATTATTATAATAAATATTAATCTATTTATAAACGAAAAGTATACATTATGTTGTATTAAATAATTTTGGCCAAAAAAAATTGAATTGGGACAACTGTGCAGTGATATAAGATGTTGCTTTATTGATAATTCACTTCGAAAATTGTAAAAAGGTTCGCGAGGTATTTCCATTCTCTGACGCTTTGATTTTTCAAGTCACTTGAAACAACACTACACATGGTCCTACGTAAAGCCGTACTGGGTGCATTTATACTATAAAATAACAAACTTTTCAATGGAAATATCAGACAATTCCATATTTCCATTGGAACACATCTAGTGCGGCTTTACGTACAACCATGTGTTGTGTTGTGTTTCAAGTGTCTTGAAAAATGAAATTGTCAATATTTAATCTTTGGTTTTGCCTAGGCTAGAACTCCATCCAGTAGCTCTGGCATAGGCAATTAATTTTCCATAAAGAACTAGCAGGAATTCTGATACACAATTCGTCATCCATCCCCATGGAATAAGTCATTATAGAGAATATATTAATCACTTCAACAACAAAGAATACGTACAAAAAACAGTTCATTGCACGACACAATAAATAATTATGCGGCAAATAACCTCCCAAGTAAATCTCCTCCTCTTTTGTTGTTGTTGTTGTTGTTTGCAGCTGATCATTTCATTATTAAACGGCAGGCAAACACAAACAACAAAGCGGATGAACGCGTGCGACCGGCTATTGGTGAAAGAGTTAAGCGGTTTCTTTATCGGTAATTGACCGACGTGTTGAATAATTGCAGAAAAAACACTATTGCTTGTTGTTGCTGTGTTTTGTTTTGCTGTTCTCTATAAATAAAACAATACAAAACAAATTATCAATTACGTACTTCATAGATATGCGAATTTGATCATTACCAAAAAAAAAAAAAAGAAAAAAAAATGAAAACGAAAATATGAATAAACAAAAAACGACATCTGTCCATTACTTTTATTTTTTGTTCATTAAATATTCGTGGTGATGTGACAATGTTTTGTGAGCGTCTGGATACGAGAAGTGACATCAGAGTGACAAGTAAATAAATGTGTTCTTATTCAAGAGAAAAAAATAAATATTTAAGAAAAACATTTTGTGATTGAATTCGTTGGACCTTGAATATTTATCCGCTGGCCCAATTGTAAAACGTAGGAAAAATTAAAGCCAATGAAAATTGGCAACAATGTCTACAAAAAAATTGTTTTTGGTTTCAAAAAATTTAATTGACGATTTTTTGTTGTCAAATTATATAGAGGTGTCAAGATACTCAAATGTAAACACCTCACAAAATGTAAAGAAAACGTCACTAGTGACGCAAAAACTTCGCACCAAACCGCAATCCTAAAATGTGTGGAATTATTTTGTTAAGAACATTTTTTATTTGATAAAAAAATTTTAAATCTAATTTTAATGTTCTAAATGTAAATAAGAAAAATACACACAGGCTTGTGATTCATCGACCCTTGTTTCAGCCAAATTTGGTGGTTTGGTGTATTTCCCCCAAAAAATATATTTGACAGTGTTCAGATAATAAATCAAAATAATTCGTATATAGTGGAGACTATTCCGAATGGTAATCACACATTTCGCAGGCAAGTTTATAAATTGTGATTTCGGAAGGAGTTACAAACGTAATATACTCCCCTTATTAATATGGACATTGGCTCTATGTTGACACCATATAAAACTGTGGATTAAAGGCCGTATATATAGGAACCCCGAAGGACAAATTCGCAATAGGCAATAGGCGGGATAATTCTTTATCCCGCCTCGAAAGTTTAACTCGAAAGTTTATGAAGAAAACTATTTCTTATTTAGTTTGCGGTTATTACAGGTTAATTTTGAGATGACATGTCTTCAGTAAAATCGAATGAGGAACATTTTGTAAATAATATCTTTCTAGTAACTCGAGTCCTAGGGCGTAATTTTCGCACGTATTTGTTGACCTCCAAATATTCTACAAAATGTAGTACATATCATATCCCTAAGGATTATAAATAAATATCCATATGTGTTCATCGTCCTTTTTTAATTTTTACTTTATCCCTGCTCAGAAAATCGTATATGAGTTGTTTACTTTGAAAGTGGTTTAAGTCTATTTTAGGTTCTGATACAAATCTTGGTTTTCTAAAAAAGTTTAGAAAATATATTAATATATTATATATTCTAAAGCATGTTTAAGGGCACAACATTTTTACGACTTAAGATTTTTTTAACATATTTAACCCAAAACTTTGAATATCTCAATATAAGAAAAATTGACTTAAACCACTTTCAAAATAAACGATTTATATATACGAAAACTAATACATTTTGAACAAATTGTGCATCACTAAAAACTGTCGGATTGGTCTGAAATATTTACCATACATTTATTTGTGGGAGACTGATTCTGATTCTTACTTTTTTAACCGGATTTTCAGATAATAAAATCGATTTTTATATCGGTTTTAATCAACCAAATAAACGTATATGCATATGATTTGAAAGCTATAACCTATGCAAATCATATGGAATAAATGCTCAGCTTAAGATTTAACCAGATCCAATGTTAGAACAATATAACCGTTTATGGGTCTAAGTCGTATAAATGGTAAAAAAAGAGTTTTATGTTTAACATTCGGTTCCGGATAACTCTTAACTCAATTTATTGCAAATTTATGGTTTCCATTCCCATTAGAAATTGTCCATCACTCAAGAATCTTGTTGCACAGTGTAATTGGATCAGTAATTTTTGAAATCATCAACTAAACGGGTTGGTATTAGTGATGATAAGTTTACTGGCGTTCAGGCGATTCTCATGAAGATAAATTGTGATTAATTGAGGAAATGAATTCTAAACGATTTAAACGATAAAACGGAAAGTATCTTTTTCGGCGTAAACTCTGAAAATATGGATATATTCTGAAAGTACGTCTCTAGACCTTTCAATTGATGTGGGTCTTCATACTGTATCCATTTTAGTTTTCCCGCAATATGGCATTTTCTATACCGTGTATACAAACATAGTTATTCGTACTTGATTTACGTTAATTAGCTTCCCTTTTTTTTCGAATATATTGTATTTTTCAATTTACTCATTTAAATCGTTTAAATTTCATTTTACGACACAAACCACCGGAAATACAGGTGGTTTGTGTCGTCGCTCAGACAATTTACAATTTATCTTCACGGATATGTTCAGGCGTCCGTCCATAGCAAACAATTCAAATCTATCAATTCCACGGTGCTTTTAACAATTAGTCACCGCCCAGACCTCTTTATGTCGACTTTTGCGTAAGATCCTGGTTTAGTCTTTTACAAGATAAAACTGAATCAAAGGCGATAGACCATTTGATGTGACGTACGTTGTTGGTCTCAAAAATTCACCATAATCCACAAAATATCATTTCATGATTGACCGACCCACTGTCGGTTGTAGTGCGCTTGAATGTTATGGGCTAAAATAAACTTGAATCATGGGATTTTAGCAAAACTTTGCGATAAGAATTACCCACAGCATTAAAATTAGTCATTTTTCTGTTAAATACAAAAATAAGAAACAGTTGAAATGACTTCTACATTTCAAGTACCATCCTGCCTGTGAACACAGCATTAATAAAATTCTGACATGGTTGATGTGACATTGAGCAAAAGTTTTTTTTTAATTCTATTGTGGTTTACATTCCGCATATATCCCAAATGGTAACATTTGAGATAATTTAGAAACACATTAAAAAAATAATTTTTGTTTTAATTTTCATTTTACGCTTTCTTTGTGGTAGCCCCGTCGTAATGCAACTGTGTGACATGGACCACAAAATCTAAAAAAAACGAAACGAAACGAAATGCCATGATCCTCCTCATCATAATTATTTTTTAGTTGAAAAATAAAATTCCAAAAATATATACATATTTATATATTTTTGTTGTTGTTGTAGTTTACATATCATGTACGTTTGCTTATTTGCTTGTTTCCGTTTTCTTTTATTTATTTGTAGAGCTGTGCAAATCAAAGACGCAACACACATGACCATGACGGATAGATTTAAAGTAACAAAGACTGAAGAGAGTGAAGCTCCGCCTGATTATCTCTTAGAAGAGTCTTGCACCGGCAAATTGCTAAACGATTTAAGTGATAATGGTAAGTTGCTCAATTAGTTATTTATTTATTTATTTATACACAAAAACCACAACAACAACAACAATAGCTGTAGATATAATCTACGATATTTTTGCAAGGATCAAAAAGGGGTAAGTAAACACAACAACAGCAGCAGCAACAATTGTGGTTCTGAGCCCAAGAGAACACAAAAAACAAACACCTGTATCAATTTTAGATATCCATCCATCCACCCATTAGTCCATCCATCCATTGAGAGTGTGAGATAACAATAATGAGATGAGATATTTTTTTTTCTCCTTTTGTATTTTTGTTTTGTGAGTAGGTGAAAGTTTCCTTGTTAATGTATGTATGTCTAGCTAGCAAAGATAAGGAAAAAAAGTCGCTGTTGTTCGTTTAACCTACATCTGTTACACAATATGTGTATGTGTGTGTGTGTGTGTGCGCAATTTTTGCAGCTCCATGCCCCGTGCGGTGATATACACCACCTAGAATAATGCTGTGCCGAGCTTAGCTTAATGCTGTCTGTATGTATGTGTGTGTGTTACTGACCTACTGTTCGTTTTTGCAAAATTACAAACACACACACACACCCATACACAGATACAAAGCAATGATTCTGTGTTTTCATTTTCATGCAACTACTCTGTGTGTGTGAGCGTGTGATTCTTTTTGTCTTGACTCAGTTTTTTGCAGCTTGCTACTATTATGGAACAACATGTGTATTTGACACACACCGACCGACAACACTTGCCACCACATACATATTCAACATTATGTACATGTGTAAGTGTAAATGTTAATGTATACACATGATATCCCCAGTTTAATATACATATCCTTTTTTGCTTGTTGGCTAGCTGACTAGCTAGCTTGTCGTGTCTCCACTAGGCTCTCGATTTTCTTATTGAGCAAATCATCTCTTTGACTGGCTGCTGCTTTTGGCGGCTGATAAAAATCTAGGGATGCTTGAATGGCGTTAATGGTCAACATGAAAAAACTTACATAATTTTATACTGGGGAGTGGTTATGCTAAAGCTTTTTTGCTTACTTTTGGCAGCTTTGCTTATTCATAGGTATTTTCATTGGGAAATGGAAAACGAAAAGAAGAAAACAAGAATCCCTAGATTTGCTCATTCATCTCTTTTGGGTTGTGTGTGTGTCTGGTATCTCACGTTGTGATTGTAAAAGCTCCACACATTTGTGGAGAATGAGTTGACAGTATTTCCCAGTGACCCACAAATTGTCGAAATTGAAGCTTTCTCCCACAAACTCAATTTTGTATGTTCGGGAATATTATTTATGGCAGGACTGACCTCCGTAACATGTTTATTTTGAAAGCAAATATGGAGAGGGGGGAGCAATGTGATTACCCAGCATATTTTATCACTCTCCCTCTCGCTCTCTTTCTCTCCCTGTTGCTGTTGCTCTCCACATCAGCTCGTGCTATGTTTGCCACAGCAAGCATTTGGCAATACTGGTGTCTAATGACGGTCTAAGCTTTTTTCGTTGAAAACATCCTTTTCAAGGATTTCTGCTGAGATGCGGTATGCTGCTCACAAATTACCAGTCTGACTGTCTACTACGCAGGTCCTTTATCCAGCACAGCATGGACCACACTCTCATCACATCAATTGCTAACGCAGCAGCCAGCCAAGTCGATACCGTTTTTCGTTGTTATTTTCGGGGAAAACTCAACTCAGCCAGTTTAGTTCGAATTTTCACCAAGTAGCACAAACATTTGACTCTTAATATTAAGCGCCACTCTAAAAACTAAGCCTTTCGCAAAAATGGTATAAAAAAAACTGAAACAGAAAACTTGTACAAATCATCCAAAAATCCATCTAAAAACCAAATAAAAATTTAAATAAAACACACACACTATATAGGGAAGCAAACAACAATATCAAGTTTCTCCAAATTCCCAAAAAAATAATAAATTTGAAAATAAAAACTTTGTGGTTCTTTTTATCCCCGGGACGTTGTTCTTAATTTTGTATTCGCTAAAAATCGAGAAAAAATGATTTTGAAAAATATGCATTTATTTATTGGTTAATGTTAACGTTTAAACACAAAAAAAAGAAAACCAATCCAAAAAACTGACTAAAAATACCAAGCAAAATTACATAAGCAATTTACTTTCTAAACGGGAGCTCGCTCGGTAACCTCCTTTCCACGGTAAAACTAAAACAAAAATACAAAAAAACACAACTAACGCCTAAAACCTGAAGCCTAATCGCACACCAATTTGCAAAAAAAAGAAGTATTCTTTTAAATTTAAGAAAATTAAAAATTTTGAAACAATTTGACAAAAAAAAAAACGATAACCCACAAAATACAAACAAGCAAACATGAAATCGTACATCTCGTACAAAGATTTATGGAAAATACAAAAATGTTGAACATCTGAGACCAGGAGGAGTGTTTGAAACTGCCCTCGTCGTCGCCGCAGCCGCAGCCGTCGTCGTCTCTATCACCAGCATAGTTGACACTTAGTAAAAACGAACATCAGCAGCAGTCAGGCCAATCTGAATGTATGTCTAACGTCAAACACAAATCGCCAAAAGGTCCAGGACGAAGAACCGTGCAAGACGACGAAGTTTACCACAAAGTCAGAGACATTCGTCAAAACGTGGTGTGAGAAAAATTAGAAAACAAAAAAATTCGAATTTGAAACGAAAAAACGGCAAATTTTTGCAAAAAAAGAAAATCAGGTCTCGCGCAACTGAATCGGCTTGGGTTTTACGTGAGTGCGTGCGTGTGTGTGTGAGTCTTCGTTCTGTACGTTCGTTCGTTTGAATCTTTATTTTTTCGTTGTTGTTGTTATTGTTGGTACAATACCTATTAAACTACTGCCCCCTTTACATCTCCTGCAAAAATGACGGAAAATAATGTGGGAGAAGAAAACTCATCCGCAATGGATACGAAAATAAATGAATCAAATACTGAAACTAACCAAAATGGTAAGTGGAAAAAAGAAGACGAAGATGATAAGAAGCGCAACAACAAAAAGAGGGAACAGCATTATTTTAAAATTTCACAAAAACACAGATACACGAATTTTGTGTAGGTACATCAGAACACAGATGCTCGTTCAAACAAAAAAAAAGAGAAAATCCCAAAAAAGAAAAATCCCAAATCCCTTTATCGCAAGGTTTACATTTCTCGTACACACACATACATACACAAGAAACGAAAAACAACCAAAGAATACCTGTATACACAAACATATACAAACACACACACATACATACAGAGACAAGAAAGCTATTTTTCATTTTTATTCAATTGCAATTTAACAAAATAAAATTCCAACACTCTCCCCCTCACCCTCCCCCTCACACCCCTTAACGCAAATGTCAAATCGAAAGGAAATTTAATACAATTATTGTTGTTTTTGTTATTGTCTACATGTCAGTGTTATTAATGAAAAACAAAACACAAAGCCCACAACACGAACAATAACAACGATGACAACAGCAACAACAACAATAACAGCAATAATAATTAAAATTCTGTCAGGCATGACACTAGACCCCAAGTGCTAAATTCGATAATCTACATATTTTACATAAATTATGATAAAAATCACTCACTCTCTCTCACACACGAGACTCACAAACAAACAAACACACTCACACCACACATACATCCACACAAGAAGCTTACGTTTGTCCACAACGAAAATCCTTATACACTCGACAGCAGCAAGAGCACTGTGTAATCATCACGGAATATCTAGTATAAATCCCTATATACAATCACCTTTGCAGCTTCGTGCCTCAGTTGTTGCGGCAAAAAGGACCAAGTCTCTTTTTTATTAATTTCTAATCTAAGCCTTTTTTGTGGAAGAATGTTTTTTTCTTGATACCAAAGAAATTAAATACCACACCTGTTCGAGCACACATACACACACAACATAGTTTTCAGAAGGGAATTCCCTTCATCACTCCCCCCTGCTGGGGCCATGGAATTTGACTTGGTCAGTTTTTGCTGTCAATGATGGTTGCTTGTCAGCCAGCCAACCAACCAGTCTGCCAGCTAAACCAGCGTATATTGAGAGGTAGCTCTGTCTACTCAAAAGTGTGATTCTGTGTCTGTGTGTGTGTGTGTGTGTGTTTTTGTATGATTGCCTGTATCCACTATTCGTGGCGACAATTGAAACTGTATTGTGTGAATCCCGAGAAAAAAGGAAAAATTGGCAAAAAAGATACAAAATAATCCATTAAAGCGAAATAGCAACGTATAAAATGTTGTGGTGGATTCTGACACACACATACATACATATGTAGATACAAAAGTATATAGGGATATAGGTATTATGAAGAAAAATAAAGAAATTATTATTTATATAAGGAATGGAAAAATGTATTTTAAAGTTGTCTCGATCTATACGAAAAATAACATTCAATAACTGGATTTGGATATTTTTTAGGTAGACACACCTATTACTTAGCCTCAATATATTCATGTATACAGCTTCTTGAAATAATCTTCTTATATATGTTTACCATGTTATATAAATCAATCAATATACGTACATCGATGGATGAGATTATAAATAATTTGAAAATATAAAAAAAATTAACTAAACTGAAAAAATAAAAAAGTTTGTAGTTATTGCTGTAACCCGCAACATTTGCTTTTTGATTTTTTTATTTAAATTTTTGATAGTTCAATCAGGATAGGCACCAAATTCCAATGCAAATTCATTAATTTGCAATATTTATGTTGTGAAAATTCGAAATTATGACATTAGCCCCCAAAAAAGTTGACGAACATATAGTTGGAACTCTTGCCCGAATGAAAGATCTTTCGGATATCTCTAATTGTGTCAAGCTTGCAAATGTAAATCATCCTCATGAGGAGGATCAGGAGATCAGACAGTTCACAATTCATCATTCAGACACAGAATTTCCTGATGGATTTTTTTTTGGTAATTTGTCGTTTTTCATAATCGGATGCAAAGATGACCTCAAATAGATGATTCATTATGTTTTATATGATATTTATGATTTTCT